GTAAGAATGTGTTTGGGGGAAGAAAATGAACTTTGGACATATCGAATGCCTCTGATGAGCAGACACTAGATCTCGAAGTCTGGAGCACAGGAAAGAGGAAGGACTGAAGACAATAAAGCAAATTATCATTTACTGAGCATCTATTAAGTGCCTGTGCTATAAACACTGGTTTATGTACACCCTGCCAGTAAGTTTTATACAACCATGTCAATGAGAGGGGGGCCTTTAGCTCTCTTTCTTCCTGCTACATCCTGGTACTTAACAACATAGGCTGGCAGAAAGTCAGCATGCAATGTTCACTGGATGGATACAAATGCAGTAGCTTTTAAACCACATAACAACCCTCTGAGGTAGGTTTTTGCTCATTTTACATGATTTGCACAAGACCACAAAGCTAATCAGCCTCCCTGGTGGTTCAGATGGTAAAGAATCTGCCTGCAATATTGGGGACCTATGTTCGATCCCTGGGTTGGAAAGATCCCTTGGAAAAGGGAATGGTTACTCACTCCAGTATTCTTTCCTGGAGAATTCCACGCACAGAGGAGCCTGGCGGGCTACAGTCTATGGGGTTGCAAAGAGTCGGACATGAACACTTTCACTTTCATAAAGCTGATAAGGGGCAGCGATCTATCTGAATTCCAAATCACTATGCAATGCTGTCATCTCTCAGTACAGACTTGGGACACAGAAGAGTAAATAGGCCACAGAAACCAATTTCTGTAAATTCATAACAAATATACATGAATACCCAACTGTGTTAGGTGCCAAGGTTAATACAATGATACACTGGGCAAGGAGTGTAATGAAATTTAAGACAAAATCCCTATGAACTTGCTCATGTCCTTGCCAGTTCACAAAGATCCTTCACAAATATTACTGTAAAAAAAGTGAAAAACTGCAAGAGTTAGTCACTCAGTCATGTCAGACTCTTTGTGACCCCATGGACTGTAGCCTACCAGGCTCCTCTGTCCATGGGATTTCCCAGGCAAGAATAATGGAGTGGCTAGTCATTCCCTTCTCCAGGGGATCTCCCCAACCCAGGTCTCTTGCATTGCAGGCAGATTCTTTACTGCTTGAATGGCCAGAGAAGCCCCAGTCCTCTACATAAACACAAGTTTCATTCCAAGAGTGAGTTGGTTAAGTCCAATATTTTGAAAGTCCAACAAAGTTAGCCTAGGTACCCAACTAATACAATTGGCTATATAATACTGTACTGTCATAGGTTTATAGTATTTTTCAGGCAAATACTACAACAAACACAAAAAATAAAGAAAACATTTTGAATCTTACAGTACAGCACCTTGGAAAGTACAGTATAACAGCTGGCACACGGGGCTGTCATGCACATTCACATCTTTGAAAGTTTGCAACTTAAAGGTTCACATGTAGGAGACTTACTGTGTTGTGTTAACTGCCCCCCCCCATCCCCAATAAGAAAATTTTATCACCACTCCCATCAGGTTTCTACTCTCCACCAAAGTGATAACTCTCCAAGGTGAATTCCATGTCACTAAATGCAACAGTCAATTCTCAGTCCTCTTCATACTTGAACCACCAGTAGCTTTTGACACTCCCTATGTGACAGTGTTTCATTTGGCTTCCAGGACACCAAACTCTGTTTTCCTTCATACTCTGATTCCTCCTTCTTGGTCTCCCCTGTGAATTCCTACATTTCTCTGTGAACTCTGAGTTCTCAGAACCCCCAGGGCTCAGTCCTTGGTCTTCTGAGTAATCATTTCCTGATCCACCTTGAGGCTTTAAGTGCCATTTATGATGATGACTCCCTAACCTGTATCCCTCCGACACCTGTGCCACAAACTCCAGGGTTATACATCCAACTGCCTGCCTGATGTCTTCACTGGGATGTGTAGACAGAATCTCCAGTGCGGTGTGTGCAAGAAGAATCTCCTGATCTCCCTTCTGGCTCCCTCTGTCAGTTACACAAGCCCCAAACCTGGATATTACCTTTACCTCTTCTCTCTCCCACCCTCCATCCCACTTATGAGGAAATTGTTGGTTCTACCTTCAGATTATACCCTGAATCTGACCACTTCTCACTGCTTCCACTGTTACCTGGTCCAAGTAACCACTATCTCTCACATGGATGCTAATGTGCGAGAGTGGTGCGTGCTTGGTTGCTTCATTCATGTCTGACTCTTTGCGATCCCATGGACTGCAACCCGCCAGGCTCCTCTGTCCATGGGCTTCTCCAGGCAAGAATACTGGAGTGGGTTGCCATGCCCTTCTCCAGGGGATTTTCCCTATCTAGGGGCTGAATCTGCATCTCCTGTGTATCGTGCATTGCAGGTGAATTCTTTACCACTGAACCACGGGGGAAGATGTGGATGCCAACACTCTGTCCTAAAAGATCCTGTTTCTATACTTTTTGCCATGTTGGTCTACTCTCAACACGACAGGCAGAATGATCCTACAAAATCTAAGTCAGATCATGTGACTTTTCTGCTCAAAACCTTGCATTGGCTGCACTTCCACCTTTCACTCAAGTCAAAGGCCATGGCCCCCAAAGTCCTATGTGAGCAAGTCCTCCCAACCTCTCTAACTTCCTTTTCTACTCTCCCCAGCTCACCTGGTTTCAGGGTCACTTTCCTTGCCATTCCTGCCTGGGGACCCATGTTCTAGCAGTTCTGTTATGGGGAACACTGGCTGAAACCACCCCCTCTATCCAGGCACCACAGTAACCACATGCATGAATTATTTCATGACAGGAGGTCCTGCTAAGAAACACAGAACAAGCCACCAGCAAACCAGAAGAATTCGGGAAAGGTCAAAAGGAGATGCCATATGTCCTGCCAACCTCCCAGAGTCCTCTGCTGGAATCCATCTTGGCTGAGTGATGCACCCGCCACCGGAAGGACCCTGAGTCACCAAATACGGGCCAAGCAAAATGACTGACCAGAGACAACTCAGAATCTAACTCCATCACCATAAAACCCGAGACCATGAGCCACATAGCAGAGCTGGTCTCCTCGGTTCCCTCACCCTGCTGCTTTCTACCTGGGCACCCCTTCCAACAGTCTTTAGCTTTGTCAGCCTGTGTGTCTCCTCCAACAATTCATTTCCGAGTGTTAAAGAGCCCACTCTCGGGCCCTGGAAGGGGGTCCCCATTCCTGCAACAATTCTCTCAGTCTGGAATGTTCTTCTCCCAGGTTTTCATGACTATATCTTCATCTCTTACAATTCTGTTCAAACCTCACTTTCTCAGTGAAGCCCACCTTAACAACCCTGTTGAACAGGGTGAGCCACCCTCCCCCAACCACCACCCTGCTCTACTTTTTCTTCAATCTGTACTACTTACCATCTTCTTACTCACAACAAAAAGACCTAACTGTGTTTTATATTTATATTTCCCCAATAAGAATGAAGAACCTATAAAGGGAGTAATCTTTGCTGAGGTTTCCCAAACTCGTTAAAAAACTGAGACCCAAGGAGGTTACCAGTACTGATCAAGGTCACTGAGTGACCCATCTGATTAGGAATCTGAATCCTGGCCAAAATCTTAAGTTCTTTCCATATAGTTCTTCCACCTGGTGACAAGAAGGCAGTGAACAGCTGAAAGTACTCCAGGTGGCCCAGGCTGCAAAATTATTCCTAGTATTGGAAGAAACCACCAAATTGTTCTAATTCACCATTTCCTCTCTTTTTTATAGTTCTTGTTCTATGATGCTTTCCTATTTCCCACTAAGTCAAGGACTCAATGTGGCTTTGAGGATCTGTCAAATAACTGACCCTAAAACGGTCTCTAGTCTCTATTATAACCTGATCTCCAGGTCTGCATTATCAGGGATGATGACCTTGGGCAAAATCCTCTTGTGCTGGGTGAGTCCATTGTTTGTATGTATGTTTTTACAATTAAATTTGAATGCGTTTTAAATCAACATTCCTGGGCAAGTCCCCCTTCTAATGCTCACAGGAGGTTTAACTTTACGGGATGTTCCTTACCTTGCCCCTAAAGCATCTGTCTGTAACCTCACAACCTTTCACATTCTGTTCTTCCAACCCCACAGAGCATTTTCCAGCTTCTTTAGGAGAGCAAGAAAATGTTTCTCCAGGTTGCCAGCAGGCTGAGCCTTACACACTCTCAGTGCCAAAAACCAATGCCACCTCCTCCTTGAAAACTTTCTGGCCCCTATCTCTCCTCTGTAACTAACCTCTTCTTATCCCAAAGGCCTATTGCAAAATACCTTAGTCAGTCACATCAATCTCTCTCTCCCCACAAGTGAGATCCAACTAGGGTGAGGATAGTGAGATTTTTGAAACGGAAAATTTTAAGGGGCACCAAAAAAGTTCAGTAATCAAATAATATTTTTTACTCTATTTTTCTAACATGAAAATTTCTTCCAAAATATTCCTAAACAAAACATCAAATATAAACTAAAAAGGACCCGCAGGACCCGGTCCACCTTCTACCTGCCAGCCCCATCTGAATCCCTACAATCACGGCAGGACAGAATGACCTCGAACTATGAGCTTGTACTTCTTGTACTTCACCGGAGCCCAAGGGTTAGAAGCTGCGGGGGAGCCGTTCTGCTCAGCACCCCACGCCCCAGCGCAGTAACTGGTAGGTCCACTCAGCTGGGAAGTAGACGTGCATTTCTAAAAAGAGTTTTGCAAAGGGGTCCGGGTGCCTGTGGGGGCGTGTGCGTCCAAGCATGTGTGTGTGTGTTGGGGGGGGGGGGGGGGAGGGACACACCTGTGCATGCTCGCTTCTACTAGTTTTCCAATCTTTCCAAAAGGTGGCTCAGGACCGGGCAGAGTAGTGCCCCAGGCCTTGGATTCTGCGCTTGCAAAAATGGGGGGTGAGGGCACAATGTTGCACGTGGGGGAAAGCTCAGAATTCCTTCTTGCACAACTAGCAGGTGAAGCGCAACTCTTTCGGGCTACTCGATCCGGCACAGGTACATGCAGCCCCCTTCGAGGTAGCAGAGGGACCTGCTACCTCGATGAATCTCCTCTAGACCCCAGGAAACGTCCTCCCGTAGTCGCCACCGCTGCCGCTGGGAGGAAGCCCAGGCGGAGGAAGGACAGTGGAGGCGGAGAGGCCGGAGGAGCGTCTCCCACTCGCTTCGCCCCGCCTCCTCTTACGCTCCAGCCAATCGTCGCTTGCTTCGAGCTCTGACCCCGCCCCTCCCCGCCGGCTCCGGCCTGCGGCTCCGCCCCGGCCGGTAATAATTAGGCTGCGGGCGGGGGGTGCCGCGTCAGCGCCAGGCGCCGGCCAATCGCGGAGCTCTGCCCCGTAGTCGCGTCACAGGCCGAACAACCAAACAGAAAAGTTTAATAAACAGCGGACGGAGGGGCCGGCGGCGGCGGGGCCGGAGCGACCTGGGGTTTGGCGGCCTCACCTGTCCCCATTCACCGGCGGCGACCGGCGGCGGCAGACAGCGCGTCAGGCGGAGGGAGCCGCCGCCAGGTGAGGAGCGGGGCCCTTGGGGCCCCGGCGACCGACGCTTCCCCTCCCCCTCCCGCTCCCTTCCCCCACCGGCTAAGGCGACGCCAGGCCCGCCCCCGGCCCCTCCCGGCCCAGGGGAGCCGGAAGCGGAGGGCGGCCGGCGGGCGCAGCAGGTGGTGGGCAGGCCGCCGGCCCGCGGGCCGGGGCCGGGCTTTTGCTGAGGGGTGAGGGGCTTCCTGGCCCCGTGGCAGGGGCAGAGGTGCGGCGGACTCCCCCGGACGCGCGGCGGGCCCTCGAGGTCCCGGGCTTCCCGCTGGGGCCTGGGGCGGCGCGCCGAGGTGAGACCTCCCCCCCTCCACTGCCCCCAGGCCTCGGGGGCGGGGGAGCCTCCGCTGTCCTCCGATTCCGAGCAGTTGGCGGGCGGGGGCCGGAGGGACCCCGGGCGCCCTGTGGCGCGTCCCTGTCACCGGCCCGGGTCAAGTTCCTCGCTTCACGCCTCCCAGCCCGAGCTCTCTTGGAAGGGTTTTTCACCTGCTGTGTTTCCAGCAACCGGCCAGGGGGAAAGTCTACCAAGTCAGACAAGGAAAGGGGGTTGTGTGCGGGGGGGGTGGGGGGGTGGTCTCTCTTTCCTCTGCGTTTGTTGGGTGGACTCAGAATTTCTCAGTTTTCCTCTGGAGTAGTATTTTCACGTTGCCGTCTAACTACGTAAACAACAGAAGAATAATGCGTTTGAAATGATTTTAACTTTTATGTCGAAACTTTGTGCCAAACCAACCACACGATTAAGACGCTGCCATGATTTATCTTCACACTCAGATTAGTTGTTCAGCAGTGTGAAGAAGTTACACACAGACCATGTGTAAGTTGTTTGGTGGTTAAAAAATTGGTTCGTTATTAATGATTTAATGCTTCGAGCAAGAGGTTTAAAGTCCTCTATCAAATCAAATTCGAAATTTGTTTTTTTAATGTAAAATCCCATAGACTTTTAAGGTTAGTTATGTAATATTTATGTTACCAATTTTAGGACAGTTGCCGAGTTACCCTTAGTCCAGGGCTTCAAGGGAAAATGTTTTCTTTCTGCAGAATATGCACATTTATACTTCCCAAACAGGTTATCTTTTAAACTTTTATTTCTTATGCATTTTAAAATGTATTTAAGGGAAACAGCGATTGCAAAGGTGTACAGGAGGAGAATTTCGGGGTTGTTGGCTTATTATCTCAATTGTGATAATTTCCTGTGTCAAAACAGATCGCATTTTACACTTTTATTAAGTATATGCAGTTTATTGTATGTTAATTACAGCTTTTTAAGCAAAGTATTCAAAGTATATTTAATGCCACAAAGGTATGAACACACACAACACAGTATTAAAGTATGCTCTACACAATAGAGTAGAAAGAGATAAAAATGTAATAAAAATCCGTGCTTTCCATCTCCAAACCAAAAGTTGGAATATTACCAAAACTTGCATATGTTTATGAGTTTCTTATCTGTCTTATACCTCTGCCTGTCCTTACCGAGGTAATCATTTCAGTCTAGTGTATTTTGTTTACCATTCCCTTGCGTGTTTTTTTTTTTTTAAGTTTCATAACAACGTCTGTGTGCTCAAAATGTGTGTTTAGTTTGTTTTTCTTTTGAGCTTTTTTATAAAAAGAATATGTAGCTGTAGTTCACTCGTTTCATTGCTCTGTATATAAAGATTAATATTGTGTTACTCTTCCACGACTCATGGGCCTTTAGCCTATGTCTTTGATTCTGTTTTGCTGTCACCAGCTGTGTCCCATGAACATTTCTTGTTTCCTGGATCCTGGTACACAAATGCAAGAATTGCTTTAGAGTGAATGCAGATTTCATTGGGACATTTTAGGTACTCAGGAGTAAAATAGATTGAAATACTAGAAATAAATGAAAAACTTTAGGATTCTCTTTTACGTTTTAATGGCAAATTCATATCCATAGTAATTGGTTCATAGTTTTTGAACATCTGCATGAGAAACCAGGATTCCTGTCAATCTGAATGAATCTTGTCCTTAGAAATTCCATGGTAAGAAGTCTGGCACTATTTGCTGTCAACTTTTTCATTGCAAAAATGTAAATATGGTAGAAAAAACACTTTGATTGGGTATAAAATAAATCACTTTTCTGGGGTTCTCTTTCCCACTTTTTAATCTCTGGCGAGTTTCTTAAAACTTCTGTTGTGCCGTAGTACACATGTGTAAAAGAAACCTGTCCTGAGTTTCTCCTAACAGTTATGCAGACTTTAGTTAAGTGAAGCACCTATCAAATGGCAGAGCTTTTAAGGAAAATGATTAGGGCCAAGGTGTTATTCTCTGGAATTACATTGAGTGTGTCCTTTGGAACACTTTTGAGAAAGGAGTGCGGTGAGTATTGATCAGGATATGTTAGCAACACATTTAAGTACTTTTTATTCCCCTCCCACCCACCCCCATGCCTCAGATTTGGAATTTATCCTGTGAACAGCAACACAAAGATAAATTATGGAGCAGTATTAACTTCCTGAAAATGGTGTGTGTATAAGTAATATGAGTTTATGTATATCTTTGAATAAACTTTATTTATAGGCATGAGAAGTGTTTTTTTTTTAAGAACAGTGTATGCAGCCTGCAGACAAATGTCAGGGTGCTTTGTTTTGATAGGACTATTTTATCTTGCTTAAAAAAAAACAAAAAAAAAACCAAATCTCAGTTTTATATTTGATTATGAGGGCAGCTTCCCCCCCCAAACTGTCAGAAAAGTTACAAAGAATGAGTAATTATTAATATTTTGGCAGGTATCCCACCAGTCTCTCTCTTTTTGTTTTTCTTATCCTAAACAATTAAACGTTGAATTCTAAGAAGTACCAGGCTGCTTCTGTGTTCAAAACTTAAACCAAATATGATCTGTCTCAATACCTTTGTTGTACATGGTATGGTGGTGGTAGTCACCTCACTGTTATCTTTGCTTCAAGATTCTCTCCCTTTCCTGTGCAGAACAATCGTTTCAATGTGTAAAGTAGATTTTCTTATTCTCAGACTCAAAACAAATCCAGATTTTTTTATACTCGACCTGCAGTGTCCAGTGAAAATATAATAGGAGCTACAAATGGGAACCACATAAGTAGTTAAACATTTTCTAATAGCCACATTTACAAAGAGAAACAGGTGAAATATTTTTTAACCCAAAATACTGTGATTCAGCAAGTAGTCAGTGTAAGAAATTTCTAAAGGGATATATTTTACTTATCTTTTTTCAGACCATCTTCACCATTGGTTGTGTTTTCCTCTTAAGGTACCTTTTGGGCAGGCCTTGTTTGTGGTTGATCTAGATTGTCTTGCCCATCAGCTTCACAGGCTTATCTTGTGCTGCTCACCCACAGCAGTGCTGTATGCCAGGCTTAGTTCTCTTGAAATTGTTGTTCCTTCTGCCTGAACACCCAGCTGTATTTTGCTCAAATGTCACTCCTTGTGAGACGCCATCCCAGACCACTTTCCCTGTCAGCTGGCTGTTACCTTCTTTGTGTCCTTTGAGAACCTAACATCTGAAGTGATTTATCTGGTTATTGTCTGTATCCCCTGCTTGAAGTAAACTGCTTGTGGGCAAGGATTTCCTCAGCTTTACTGTTCAGTCGCTCAGTCTTGTCTGACCCTTTGCGACCCCATGGAATGCAGCACGCCAGGCCTCGCTGTCCATCACCAACTCCCAGAGTTTACTCAGACTCATGTCCATTGAGTTGGTGATGCCATCCAACCATCTCATTCTCTGTCGTCCCCTTTTCCTGCCCTCAATCTTTCCCAGCATCAGGGTCTTTTCCAGTGAGTCAGTTCTTCACATCAGGGGGCCAAAGTATTGGAGTTTCATCTTCAACATCCGTCCTTCCAATGAATATTCAGGACTGATTTCCTTTAGGATGGACTGGTTGGATCTCCTTGCAGTCCAAGGGACTCTCAAGAGTCTTCTCCAGCACCACAGTTAAACAGCATCAATTCTTCGGTGCTCAGCTTTCTTTATAGTCCAACTGTCACATCCATGTGACTACTGGAAAAAAACAGCTTTTACTGTTAGGTCCCCATATATTGAAAATAAGATTTTTAAAAGGTACATGCCATTTTGTCTTATGAAAGTACTGTTAATTTAACTAGTCACTTATTGTGTATAACTTGCTGCTTTATCCTTTTTTTCACTTTTACAATGTGGTGAAGAACATCTTAAGAGCTACATCTTACTATGTACTTCTTATTTCTTTAGGGTTCAGCCTGTCTTAAAATTGCTTAAAGTATATGAACATTTTTTTTTCTCATGAATACTGACAAATCTTATCTTAAAAGTTCAACTAACAGTGTAGTATAAGTTGACCAAACCTGTATGAAGTTCGATGAAAAATATGAGAGAGTACACCTTTCCTCCATATCTTTCCAGAAGTAATATTTTTTCCCTTTTTCTTTTCGTAAGATTTGTAACTTATTTCTTAGATTAATGAGTTATGATAATGAATAGAAGTATAGGTTCTGGACATCTTCTGGTTTGTCTTTGGCTCTTTGGAGTGGTGTTTATATTTAGGATAGCCACCCTTTGACTCATCCTAACAACATTTTCCCTTGCTCTTCATTAGCCTTTTGTTTATCTATTTATTTACTTTTTTAATAATTGAAAGTTTTGTCTTTTAAGAAGTTTAGGTTAATAACATTGTTTTTACAGCTTCTACTTTCATATTTAATGAACTCTTCTACCCAGATAACTGTTTTCTTCTAGTTCTTTGTGGTTTCATTTTTCACATCTCTCTCTTCTGTTCATTCAGAATTTATTTTGACTTAATATATGAAGTGAAAGAATTGTCCTTAGTTTTCCTTAGTAGTAAATCAGTTATTTTAGCCCCATAAAAGAAAACTTTTTCTTTTGCCTTCAAATAAAGATGCCATTGTCATAATACTAAATACATTTATGTTTGGTTCTTTTTAGCTTTTATTCAGTACCAGTCAGTGCACACTGTTTTAGTAACTGGGAGTAATAATGTGTTTTTCTTTGGTTATTGTTAAGTCTTACCATCCTCTTTGCCCCACTCCCCCTACAATTTTTAGTTGTTGCTTTGTTAGTCCTCGAGTTTTTAGTTGATTCTTTAGGGTCTTCGGGTTGTTTTTGGTCTTGAATTTTTTAATTTAGAAAATACTGAAAGGGAACCCTCTTACACTGTTGGTGGGAATGCAAACTAGTATAGCCGCTATGGAGAAGAGTGTGGAGCTTTCTTAAAAAACTGGAAATAGAACTGCCATATGACCCAGCAATCCCACTTCTGGGCATACGCACCGAGGAAACCAGATCTGAAAGAGACACGTGCACCCC